GACCTAAGTCTACCTGACGTCTGTCTTCCTGCCTCAGTTTCTTCATCTGGAAAACAAGTATGTGTGTGTCTACAAGAAGGTTCATAAGGCCCTGTGAGCAATAAAGTTCTCCCAGGATGGGGTGGTACATACAGCTATAATCCTAGTACCTGGGTGTCTGAGGCAAGAGGACTGTGAGTTTGAGGCCAGCTTGGGCAACTTAATGAAATGCTGTGTCCAAAAACATCCATGTAGACAGCATCTGCGATGCATTGTTAGTGTAACCAGAAACAAAGCTGGCCATAGGCCAGCTATTCATTGTGATGTGACCCCAAAGACAGAGCTCCATGGCTAACAGCAGAGCAAGGGTAGAGTTGGGAGAAGGGAAAGCCTGAGCAGCAGACTTTTCCAAGGAAGAAGGACAGACACAGCAATTCTCCTGCTGGGCATCTTCCCACAAGAATTAAAATCATCATACCACAACAACATGATCACCTGTGTTTATAGCAGCATAATTTGTCATGGTTAAATCTTGGAAACAACCCAAATGCCTGTCAACCAAGGAATAGATAAAAAAAAAAGATGTGTTTTCTATACAGTGGAGTACTACTAAGTCATAAAGAAGGACAAACTGGGGGCTTTTATATGCAAATGGACGCAACTGGAATCCATACTCAGTGAAGTAAATCAGACTGATCTGCAGGCATTGTATTGTCTCACTAGTGTGAGAAGCTGCAAGAGTAAGTAAAATGTTATACATGTATGTGAATTCTAGAAATAATGTCATGTTGGCCTTCCAAAGTTTTTCTTCTTTTTCAAAATGGTTTTAATGATTTTAAGTCTTTTGGATTTTCATAAAAAGCTGTCTTCAAGTGTTCCACCTTAAAACATTTCTTGACATTTTTAATTTCTCTGTAATGTTTTCTAGTTATCTGTATATAGGTCTTATAAATTTTGTAGTGAGATTTATCACTATTTTATATTTTAACACTTTTGTAACTGATGTGTTTTTTATTTTGTTTCATCTATGAAAACAATTTTGCTTTTGAGTTAAAAAAAAAAAAAAAGGATAAATGGATGTGAGGGAGTGAACATTGTTGGAGGTGTCCTGCAGGCGGGCAGTAGACAGTGACAGAACCTGTGCGTGGGTGGCTGGGCCTGGCCCCTCCTGAGTCCTAGGAACCCAGGCCTGGAAGAGTGGAAAGATCTCGGGTTTCAGAACTCATTTTCAGTCCTCTGCACCCTTGGGGTAACTGGTAACTTTGGGGGCAGAATGCTGGCCTCAGTTGGCCAAGTGTTTGAATTTCACCTCCATTCATTTGTGAATCTAAAATGTTTTAAAAAACGAGACTGGGCGTGGTGGCGTGCACCTGTAATCCCAGCTCTTTGAAGGCTGTAAACAGGCAGATCACTGAGTCCGATCTAGCAGTGAGACCCTGAACACCCTGTAGACCCTTCCCTAAAATAAAAAAAAAAAAAAAAATGCTTAAAGACCTTATCCACACAATGGGGAGAAAGAATGAAAGTTAATAAATACAGGTATTTGGAGCAGGGGTCAACACCCTGCGGTTTCCCTGCACCTGGAGGCAAGCCCGATGCTTAGCCTCTTGGCCTCCAGGGTATCAGGCCCTCAGTTCAGGCCAGATCTCTGTCACCAGAGCCATTGCCAGCCAAGATTTTACCTCGAGCGCAGGTCTCCTGCTGTTGCATATCATTACCACAAATATAGAGGCTTAGAACAACACAGTCTATTCCACAGCAATTCAGTGGATTGAAAGTGCCTGTGGGCTGGGCTCATTCTGCTGCTGGAGGTTTTCAGAGCAAAGTACATGCCAGCCAGAGCTCATGACTCCCTCACAGGCAGATTAGGGTGCAGTAAGAAAGCTGGAAGACAGGGCCAGGCCTGCCAATTATAGAGAACCAGAAAGGAGGCTGGACAGTAGGGTGTGACCTGCCGACCAGGGAGAGCTGTCAAATCACTGTTTCTAATACCAAATCTGACACTAAAACAGGGCTATGAAAGAGGATTTGGGGACTGGGAGTGGTAGTATACACCTGTAATGCCAGCACTCAGAAGGCTGAGGCAGAGGATCTGTGAGTTCAAGGCCAACCTGGACTGCAAAATAAGTTCATGGCCACCCTGGACTGTATAACAAGACTCTGTCTCAAAAAAAAAAAAAAAAGATAGCAACCGCCATTTCTTGTGGTCATGTCTTCTTAGTCTTCCAGGGACCCCTCCTATGTGCAGGGTGTATTTTCCCTCTTCTTCTTTTCACTTCTTCTTTTCTCTTTTCACTTCTTCTTTTCTATGTCTCCACATGAAACCATTACACTCGTTGCTTGGCTCTGTCCAGTTGTCCTAATGGAACAAGGACCCCGTGCCTAGGACACAGCTCTGGGGGTGTAGCTGCTCCATGCTCACTCAGTGGCTGGCAGTTTCAGCTTCTTGCAGTCATAAGACTGTGGTCCCAGTGTCCACAGTTGCTGCTCTCAGCTCCCAGAGGTTACCTGCATGCTTTACCTGGTGCCCCCTCCAAAGCTGTTCCTTGGTGGAACAGTCCTTGCGACTCCGGGCTCTGCCTCCCACCCTCATCAACTGCTCTTCCTCTGCTTCACTCTCTGCCCCTCTGACTCCTCTCCTATCTCTTCTGCTTTTAAGGGCCCATGTGATTACACTTAGCCCAAAATGAATCTTAGTGCCACCAGCGTCAGACCTTAATTGCAGTGCAGGTCCCTTCATAGCTGCTCAAAGCTGGCACCTGAGTAAGCAAGAGACAGGAACCTACAGATTCTGCCACTGGCACAGGCCTTGCCTCACCTCTGTAGAGGAGCCGGCCTGGCGAGCTGGAGTCAGATGAGCAGCAAACGACAGCACAAGATGGGTATCAGGGAAGCTGGCCTCTGGGGTGAGTCACAATTCCAGGGTCATATTAAGGTCCCTGCCACAGGCATATATTTACTTGTAATTGTGAAGACCAAGAAAGTAGGTATATACTTCTTTTACAGATGAACAAAATTGAAGCTTCAAAGAGCAAAACACTTGCTTAGGTCACAGAGGGATCCATGATAAGAGCAGAAATACACATTCATGCCAGCTGACCAGGCCAGTGCCCTGCTCCCAACACCTTAACACATGGGCCTCCGGTCCCAGCATGGCCCAGTGAAGAAGGGCCCTGTGGACTCTACACAGGGCTACCCCTGGGGCTACAGTCGAACAGGCATCCAGGCGGCCAAGACAGCAAGGGACATAGCATTCCAAGCCCCTCTAGAGGGCAGAATGGAAGGAGGGAACTTCTTTTAAAAAATGGGGGAAAAAATGCACTGAGCAGCTGATATGGCTCAACTTCATCCTGGGACGAGGCTGTCCAGCAGTGACCACAGAGTCACTTTTGAGAACCCTATCTCAAAGCACAGGGGAAGGTCATACCCAGGAGGATATCCAGAAAAAGGAGGATACATAACCAAATAAAGACCTACTCTAGCCTCTCCTCACTTATAATGGGGCCAGATCCCACCACACCTCTCACAAGTGTAATATTACAAGTCAAAAATGCACTGAATGGTATGCAGGCATCACTGTAATATGTCTTCAAATCTTTTGGGAAGACACCTGAAAGGATAATACCTGGGCCAAGCAGAATTTCTAGATTTAGTTCTTTGAAGAATATCCATGATGACTTCACTCTTTTTATACTAGTTTACATTCCCACCAACAATTCACACACCCAAAGCCTCTCCAACATTTGTTGTTGTTTGATTTCTTGATGACAACTATTATTTTTGAAATAAGATAAACTATGAGTGTTGCTTTTTTATTTCTCTAATAGCCAGAAACGTTGAAACCTTTTTGTCTGTATGATTTACTTTGCTCATGTTTTCTACAATGAATATCTGTAAATTTTCTTTCTTAAAAAAATGGGGGGAAAAATGTGCTGAGCAGCTGATATGGCTCAGTGGCACAGCACTAGCCTGGCAAGGGCAAGGTCGTGAGTTCAATTCCCAGTATCAGGAAAAAAAAAAAAAAAGTTAAACATAGAGAATGCACTGAACCCGGCCTGGTGGTCCACCCCTATAAGTCCAGCACTTGAGAGGCTGAGGCAGGATAATCTCTGAAAGCGAGGCCAGCCTGGTCTACATAGCCCAAGACCCCATCTCAAACAAAACAATAAAGAATACACTGATTGGGCTGGTGAGATGGCTCAGTGGTCTAAAGCGCCTACTTAGAACAAACTTAGCAAAGCACAGGACCGCAGTTCAATCCCCGATCACCACATGCCAGCCAGCCCCGCCCCCTGGTGGGCTGAGCTGGCCACACACACACACACACACACACAAATAAATAAATAAATAAATAAATAAATTAAAAAGAAAAAGAATACATTGATTGCATAGAATCCACTAAATTCCACAGCTCAGCCTTGCTGCAGCTGGACAGAATCATGGAACATAAAGCGCACTCCACGACAGAGCACTGGGCACCTCTTGTGATCGCCAGGTGTGAGGCCACCTGTGGAGGCCACCTGTGGAGGCCACCTGTGCAGGGCTGGTGCTGCGGATTCAGGCTGTTTTCAGTTCCAGCCTGGGGAAGCACCCAAATTCAGCTGGAACTGAGCTTTTACCGAGCTAGAATCATTGGCTCAGCAGCCGAGAGAGCTCAGACTGCAGAACACTGGGCGGTAGGGGGCGACGCTGCGAGCGAGGGCCGGGGGTGTGGGGGTGCAGGACCCCCAGAACCTGGAGCTGCCCCTCTCAGCCGGCCTATTTCTCTGCGTGTGAGCAGGCGTGTGAGCTCTGTTCTCGTCCTGAACCTGAAGCTAGACTCTGAAAGCAGGTCCCGGTCACCTCGTAGCCAGAGCCTCACAACCTGACGTGCCCCTGCCGGCAGGTTTGAAGAGCTAACAGCCGGCGCAATACCTGGTCCTGGTGTTGCTGTCCGCAAGGCCCAGGGAGTGTTGGCGGCCGGCTGGTGGGCGGGGACGGAGGGAGGGGTCCGTCGGCCGCTCCGCCCCTGCCGCCCGGGCAGCCCCTGGCGGAGCCCGCAGAAACGCAGGCAGAGCTGCCGCGATGAGGACTGCACTGTTCCTGCTGTGCTCCGGGGCCTGGCTGCTGGTGTCCACGGGCTGCGCTGACGACGCGCTGAAGTTGAACTCCTTAGGTACGGGGCCAGGGAACCCGGTCACGGGGACCCCAGGGATCCAGGGCGGCGTGTTTCGTGCCTCAGGAAGCCTGCAGCCCTGTCCCCACTGGGGTGCCTCTCCAGAGCCACAGCCACCTATTCCATTCCAGGCCGTGGGCGTGGCAGGGGTCCCAGGTGCCGGACGGCGCTCGGTCGAGGGGTCAGCTGTGATGGGCCCGCAACCTCGGTGCCGCAGCAGCCTGGCTATGCGGGCGGGCGGGGCACCCAGCGCTCCCACTTCAGGTCGCCTGTGACTGACCCTGCTCTGCCTTGCGCTCCGGTTCTGCTGCTTCCTGGCCTTTGCTGTGCTGCACCCAGCCTCGGCCCTTTAGGCCCTTAAGACCGTAGGCAAAAAGCACGCTGGCTGAAAAAATGAGAAGCCTGGACCAACACCTGGGACTGACAGGCAAAGGGCACAGAGGTGGTTTCTTTCCCACTCATCCCCAGTGTGGCCTGTTGGGCCTGGTCAGGCCTGTGGTGCTTTGGTGAGGACAGCGCAGAAAGCTACTAGCAAACCTCCAGCTTTAGGGCCCTAGGCCATAGCTCAGCTACTGTCTCTGCTGTTTGGGGGAAGCAGAGGCAGCGGCAGATCGTGGATGAGTAAGCCTTGCTGTGTGTGTACAAATAACCACTGTTTATGAATACTGAAATTTAATGATTTTCAAGTGCTACAAAATATACTATTGTACCTGCTTCCAAGCAGTTAAAAATGTAAAAAGTCATTTAAGCTCCTGAGCAGGACTAGAGCAGGCTAGGGCTGTGGCTTCTCAGCTTTGCTATGGCCCCTCCAAAAGGGCATAACCAGCTGGGATGGAGCTAATGAGTTCAAGGCCAGCCCGGGCTCTATAGCACGACCCTTCATCAAACACCAAACCATCCTAGTGGGTCTGTGAGGGGAGGTTCATGACCCAAGGGTCATGCTGTCCCTGCTCCCCGGCCCTCTGCTTTTCCTTCCTGAGAAGTATCCCTGCTAGAGTTTTCACACTTGCCTGCTGCTTAGGAAACCGTTTCTAGAGCACAGACCCAGCTCCTGACCTCCATCCCGCTGTACACACTGGTCCTTACCTAGGTCTGTCTCTTCTGAAACCCAGCTGCAGGGCTTGGAGTTCCCTGAAACCCACCGGGACATGTGGGAAGAGAAGTGAGCAATTTCTTCCTAGGAAAATGGTCAAAGCTTGACTTCCAGAACAGACTGGGGCTAGGGAGAAGCAGCGCTGCACAGCAGTGACTGAGCAGGCAGTGTGCAGGGAACTCACCTCAAGACTCTGCCTCCTGTTACTGTAGGGTTTAGGGCCATTCTTACTGAAATATCACGCTAACTATGCACTGTAACCCTGTCAGCTCTCTGCCCCCCCCCAAATTAAAAAAAAAAAAAAAACAACAGGCTGGGCTTATAGTTCAGCCCTCCTTCAGAATTGTTTAAAAAGTATTTTAAAGAAGGTAGTCTGCTCTATGGTTTTTGTACTTGACAGTGGCATTAATGAGTCCTATTTTCTCAGAACATACTTGGAGGTGGCCCTTCCCTGTTGTGCAGGCATCTGACCTACTGGGTAGCTCTGGCACTGTCTGCCCCTAAATTAGCAGTGTAGATTGGAAGCTGTCAAACAAATAAGGGTGTTTTACAAAACAGATGACTTCATCTTAGTGTACTCCACCCCTGCCACTGTACAGCTTTAGGACTTACTGTCACCTCCTAGATGTAAAATCCTAGGCTCTTTCTAATTATATCCATCTCCCAGACTTGTGGCTATGAGTTCCCATTTTTATTCCTGACAGTCCTAGGCATTACTTTGTCTAAGCACAACTTTTCCCCCCTCTGTGCTTGTTTTCTATTTCCTTTTAGTCTTTTTTTTTTTTTTTTTGACAGGGTCTCACTATGCATTTCAACCTGGCTACTTTGTAGCCCAGGCTGGCCTCAAACTCACAATAATCCTCCTGCCTCAGCCTCCCAAGTGCTGGGATTATAGACATGTGCCACCTTGGCCTTGTTTTCTACTTTTTTTCTGCCTCTCCTTTGCTTCCCATTCCTATTTCCCTTTTTAATTCACTTCATCCGCATATCTAGCAACTTTGAGTGCCTGCCTAATGTCCCACAGGGCAGGTTCCGGGTTCCTTAGTTCTAATCCATGTTTTAAAAATGATTTTGTGAAACTCCTCTGAATATTGGAAAAAAAAAGAGGGTACTCAGGATTCCAACCCTTAGCCCATCCATCCGTTTTTAACTGCTTCTGAAGCATCTGCTGGCTTTTCTTAGCCTTTTCTCTTTTCATTCAGTGTTCCAGGCACCTCTGGTCTCAACTGAGCACTAGTGACTGAGTGCAGTGTACTTTGACACTGTTAACTAAGTGAAGAGTTGGCTCATAAATGACTGATGACTGTTGAGATTATGTTTTGTACAAATAAAGAAACTTCTTATTTAAAAATAAAATATGCCCTTGAATGAATTTCCACCAGGCAAGCACACTTGTAGAATCAGCACCATGCTAAGGCAGAACATTTCCAGAAGTCCTTTCTGTGTCCGCACTGAGGATAACTTCTGTCCTAACTTCTGACACTGTACTAAGTGTATTACCAGGGTTGGGGGGCAGGTTCAGCTTAGTGGTACAAACATGCTTAGCATGCCAGAGTCCTAGGTTCACTTACTGGCATGCACACACACAAAACCAAAATGCAAAGATAGGTTTTCTTTTCTTTTTCTTTTTTGGCAGAACCGGGGATTGAACTCAGACCCTTGTGCTTGCCAGGAAGCGCTTATTCTACTGAGCCATCTTCCCAGCCCTGAAAGATAGTTTTTCACAATTAGTTTGAGATACCAAAACAAAGAATTTGAGTTCCTTTTTGTACTCAGCCTTAGATAACATCTTTGGTGTTTTAAATTTATCTTAGTTTTCTAAAATGCAAATCAGCTTTAAACTGTCCTACTTGTTTGGAAACTCAACTTTACTATGAGGCACTCAGATCTAATTTTGTTTTCCCTTTTTTGCAGAGAACTTTCGCTTTAAGTCATGGATGGTGCAGGTCAGTGCCCAACTTCTTCTTTCTGAGGTTTTTTATTTCGAAACATTTCCTGTTGTACAAACAAACTGTACCAGATTTCTGGCAGTAAAGAGGGATTTTCCAGCCTTGACCTCCCCAGGGTCTTTTCCTGCTTCAAATTGGCTAAATACTAAGAAAGATGCAGTTCAATAAAGCTCATCCCAGATGGTGGCCTCCGATGTAGGGCTACAGCCTTGAAGTTCTTTCTGTTTCATACTCGAAGCCCCTGACCTCATGGCTGCAGAAACACCACTGCAGGCACTTTTGGAAGGTGGTCGTCTTTCCCCTGCAGGTGGCTTGGCCCCTCCTGACTTCTGGGGACCTGCACAGGGCTGCTCTCTTCAGGAGGCATTGCTTTTGGGCAGCTGGCCAACAGGCCCTGGAGGAGCAAGGTTGTTTGCAAGTCCTGATTTTACAGTGGGAACCCAGGGCAGCATCCCACCCACTGGCACAGACTTGTCCTGAGCACCGTGGCACTGAGAAAACTTCCATCTCTTCCCAGAAAACAGAGGACTGTCCCCACAGGGAACTGCATCCTGTTTTCTTGACCAATTGCTAATGTTTTTGTTTTAGCACCAAAAGGAATACAGTGTGAAGGAGTACCATCAGCGGCAGCAGATATTTACCCGCAACTGGAAGAAAATCAATGCCCACAACAAGGGGAATCACACGTTTAAAAGTATGTGGGGCACTGTTCCTCCCAGCTGCCTAGACAGGGGTGGGAACAGAGCAGATCTAGAAAGAAGGGGGCTTCCCAAAACTTGTGGGTATGGAGGAGAGGCTGAGACTCAGGTGCTTTGCTGACGCTGGATTATGGCCCTGCTGTCCAAGTTCATCAGGTGTAGGTTTATAAATAGGACAATGGAGGGACCTGTTAGGTGGTAAAGATATACATGAGAGAGTCTAAGTGTTGCCCCTGCCCCTTTCCTGCTGCCTGAGGTTCCATCACACATTCTGTGCTCTGTGTCTGATGGCTCTGAGGCTGTGTCTCAGCGACCATAACTCCATGCTCACACAGCATCTGAGGAGGCAGTCTGCACTGCAGCTTTGTGCTGGGATGAGGACTGAGAAACAGCATAATTCAGTTAAGTTGGTACCAGGGGCAGAACACAGGAAGGAGACCCAAGTTCAAATTCATTTCTGCCCAATCCCTTAGGGAACATGGGCTGTTTGTCAGTAAAGGTGACACCGCTGCCCACCCAACCCAACCACATAAAGGCCAGATGTGCAGGCGCAGCAGTCCTTTACATGGGCATCCCCCAGACACAGCAGTAGGAGGCCTGAAACACTGGGTGTCCAAGCCCCAGCCAGAGCATTTGCACTGAGCATCTCTGGGTGCATGTCTCAGTCCTCAATATCTGTAGCCTTGCAAAGCTCCTCAAGAACTCTGAAGCACAGGAAGGGCTTGCCTTGGTGTTGCAGAGGGTATAATAGAACATTGGTAAACACCTGGTTTTGTCTGCTAAAAGTCTCTATTTCTTTTCTTCCCTCTTCTCCTTTTCAGTGGCACTGAATCAATTTTCAGACATGACCTTTGCTGAAATAAAACGCAAATATCTTTGGTCGGAGCCTCAGGTAATTCATGCAAACAGATCTGGGTCTTTTCACTGAATAACTTTGAGGGCTGCTCTGCTTCCAGCTAAAATCAGTCCTGTCCCCAGCCACAGATCTTTCTCCTCTTCAGGGAAGCAAGAGGGCTGTCTCCCTGTGGCCTTCATCTGGGCCCTGGACCATAGCATCTGAACCCCTGACATAGCTTATCAGATAAAATAGATGCCCAGTGCAAGTTGAATTTCAGATAAATAACATAATTTTTAGCTGCATTGTAAATATTACACAAAATGTATTTACATTACCTGGAATTTCAAATTTAATGAGGAAAACAGTGCTTTTATCGCTGACTCTGGCTGCCCTTTTCTAAGTCTTCCAGTCTGGGCTTTGAAGCATGCAGCATGTGGATCCTATAGACCAAAGCTGACCATAGTCTTTCTCATTCATTCTAATGATTCCATTTTAAGGGGCTGGGAAAATAGGTAATGACATAAGTGCCTGCCTGCCAAGCACAAGGTCCTGAGTTCAATCTCTGGTACCCAAAACAATATCAACAACAACTCCATTTTAATTACACATCTTTTAGCCAAGAAAACAAGGGGGGCTGGTGAGATGGCTCAGTGGTCTAAAGCACCTACTTAGAACAAGCTTAGCAAAGCACGGGGACCGCGGTTCAATCCCCCAGCACCACATGCCAGCCAGCCCTGCCCCCTGGTGGGCTGAGCTGGCCACACACACACACACACACACACACACACACACACACACACACAAAAAAAAAAAAAAAAAAAACAAAAAACAGGGACTGGGAGTTGTTTTAGTCCCTTCACTGATAATAATGTGTTTGGTTGTTCCAGAATTGCTCAGCCACCAAAAGTAATTACTTTCGGGGTTCTGGTCCCTACCCAACCTCTGTGGACTGGCGGAAGAAAGGAAATTTTGTCTCCCCAGTGAAAAATCAGGTATGTGTGGCAATTTCCAGCCTTTCCTCTCCAAATAGCTTCACTGTCACAGGCCAGAGCCCCAAAAGACACATAACAGGGCTGCTACTAAGCACCTGGCTCTGCTACTGAGCTCCTGCCTCTGCCTCTCCCTCCAGTCTTCTCTGTCCATCAGGTCTGCTCACTACTGCATGAGGCCCTCTGGAGCATAAAGGGAGGCCCTTAAGGGCCAGCACCAGCACCGACTCCTTTCCTCCCCTGGCAGCGCCACACACCCTGCTCCCCCTGCAGATCCATTCTTCAAAGACTAGATGCCAGGACCCCATGCTAGTGCCCATGACTTGCCTTCTCCTGTCTTCATCCACCCTCAGGCACCAAGCTGGAGCCGCCCCTGGCACCCTCTTCTCTTGGGTGGTCAGCTCAGTGAAATCTAGCAGTGCCCATACCTCCAGGCATACTAGAGGTATCTTCTCTGTGAGGCAGAGCGCCCCCTGCAGGGCAAAGGGGAGCAACAACCCCCTCCCCCCACACATACTTTTCCTCCAAGAGTGTCTGTACTGCCGCCCTCTTCAGTCACAGGGTTACTGGGATAAGCTTCCTTCCTGAACACACTTGACTTACCATGGAACTTCATAAGGCAAATATTTTTCACTTTTAAAAAGTCACATGGTAAAAAAGTGATGTGAGGGCCCGGGAGATGGCTCAGTAGAATAAGTGCTTGACTGGCAAGCTCAAGGGTCTGAGTTCAATCCCGGGTTCCACAAAAAAAAAAAAAAAAAAAAAAAAAAGTGATGTGGTGCAGTTCCACACCCTGCCAGACTCCCTGTGTCCTGGACCTGCCCTGTGCCTGCCCTCCTGGGAGCCCAAGCAGAGCTCTCCACCCACAAAAGGAAGTGAGGGAGAAAGAAAGCACCCTGTGTGAATCTAGACTGTAGCGGTTCTGAGAATCTCAGCACTAGGCCAGGTGGGCAGGGGAGGTTTGGCAGGTATCCAAAGTCCTCCCTTGAACAAGTCCCTGTCTACCAGACACAAGCAAACAAAACATCAGTCTTGGAGGTGGTGATGTGGGGCATGCCATGGTTCCCTGGGTGTATGGTGTCTCATTTTACAAAGGGTGATGTGAGGGTCCCTGAGGAGCAGTGGTGACAAGACCAACACCAGGGCTCTGCTCCAAGTCTAGGCCTTGCAGACAGTGCAGTTCCACCCATCCTCTGAGCCACCTCTGAAGCGCTCCTTGGCTCTGCCCTCCCTGCTGAGGAGAAGATTTGAGAGGAAGAGACAAGGGGAGGCTGCTGCAATGGATGTCTCTAGGGAGATGAACTGCAAGGGCAGATGTGGGCCATGACGTAGACAGGGAAGGTTAAGAGACATTTCATGAGTAGGCTGTGGAAGAGAGGACGAGCAAGAAGACAAAAAGAGACAAAGATGAGTCTGAAAGAAAAATCACAGATGAATGCTTTGGAACTTGCTACTGGGTGACTGCTTAACAAGCAACCTTCCCCTCTACAGAAGAGGAAGCTGACCTTGCCCGAGTCACACGGGAGTGTGCAGAGCTACAACGTACACTGCGCAGGCTGTCCAGTGCCTGGTGCCTGAACCTGTGCTTATCTAGGAGCCAGGCTGCAGTGACTGGGCAGAAAATAGTGGGAGGCATGCAGAGGTAGAGCCTGAGCCCAAACTCAGAGGGGTCTTCTGGTGGGCTCATCTGGAAGTCAGCTGAATGTCTGGGTCCGGATGAAGATCAGGACTGAGGCTCAGAGTCTGAATAGAATGAGAAGGGGGATGGAAAAGTCAGAGACATTTCTAGAAACACTTTTGGTGACACCTGCTAGGAAACTGAACAGAAGAGGAGCCAGCAAAAGGCCCAGGAGCAGGAAAGCCAGGAAGACCATAGAGTAGGGCCAAGAGAGCCCAGCCTTTGCAGGATGATAGGGTTGGCCAAGAGAAGGTGCTACTGGGAGTCCTTGGCACCCCTCAGTCAGAAGTGCTCCTGCTCAGGCCTGGGTTGTGAGATCTGCCCTTCAGAGTGGACGAAGCCAAGCCTTATGAACTGTAGAGGCTTGAGGTAAATGGAGGGGCCAGAACCAGCACCCCTCATGGTGGCCAGGGTCTGATTTCCTCTCTCTGCCACCTCTAGGGGGCCTGTGGCAGTTGCTGGACCTTCTCTACTACAGGGGCCCTAGAGTCAGCAGTGGCCATCGCTAGTGGGAAGATGCTGTCTCTGGTAAGTGGGCTTCCTGGGGTGCTGGTGAGCTATGCTACAATCTCACCCACAAACAAGAGAAACAGCCCGTGGGCTCTCCCATATGGGTGGGTCTTGTGGTCCTCAGTTTCCTCAGTTGGGCATCTGGGACCTTCATCAAGCACAGGCTCAGAAAGTAAAGCCCCCTGGAAGACAACTACCTTGGCGGCCTTTCTGGGGGAAAGAGCCAGGCCCACCAAGAGTGAGGGAAAGAGGTTTGAGGAACTGTGCCAGTCCTACCTCAGTGGGAAAAGGGCAAGGGAAGTCAGTCTCTGGGTGGCCTGACCCTCCTCCTGGAACACACAAAGAGCCCCTTTGAGCCCCTCATGTATTCAGGCTGAGGATTCCCCCACATGCCCCCCCCACACACACACTGGCCCTGCAGCCTACTGGCTGGTACTTTACAACACACAGATGTCCCAGTCCCAGGGAGTTCGTCTTCTGCCAGTCAGGCCAGGCGTAAAGAACTTGTGGCCTTCACCCTGCGCACTGGGTCTGTGCTTCTTCCTGCAGGCAGAGCAGCAGCTGGTGGACTGTGCCCAGGGCTTCAACAATCATGGCTGTGAAGGGTATGTCCTCCCCAAACTCGGAGGGACTGGGAGCCCTTCTCTCCAATCGATTTCTGTCATATTCGTAACCCACCCATTCTGGGAGGAGCCAGGCAGTCTCTCCTGTGATAAGTCTAGTGAGGTCTGTTTGGTCCTGAAGGTCATGCCCTGCCCAGCACCTCACCAGCCCAGCAGGGGCCCTGGAAGAGTGGCTAATGATACTGATAGCATAAGAATCACATCAAGGCATGTTGCCTTTGCAGGAGAGAGAAGGGGGCTTGCCTTGGCCTTTGGATGTGATCTCTGCAGTGCCAGCTGCCCCAGCTCACTGTTCCTAAGAAGGAGCTTTGCCAGTTCGGTGTTGTGTGCATGTACTGCCCCCTTTCAAGGGGCAGGTTGTTGGGGATTTCTTCCCATTTTTCCACATGTGCTAAGCTCTGAGATAGCTCTGTCAGGTTTTCTTGGCTCCCTGGCACATAATACAAATAAAGCCAGGCCATTGGCATTGCAGCTTCAGTTCTCATCCAGCTTCCTGCAGTCTCTCTGGTCCAGACCCTGCCTGGCTCTTCCTCCTCTAGCAGCAAACGCAGGACCTTTCAGAGAGCTGCACTGGCCACATAGAAGGATTCTGGAGCGTCTGTTGCTACAGACCCACTGTCTTGGCCTGCTGTCTTCCCACTTCAAGTATCATTCCTCTGGGCAGTGCTTTACAACACCCATAGCAAAAGACAGACCCTGGAGTCACAGGATTGCCTCACTCTTGTGAATCCAGGGCTGATGCTAAGTTTACCATAACAGATCAGGTAGTGATGCAGTTGTGGAAAGATGATAGGGACAACGGCATTGCTGGGCAGTGCCTGTTTATGCTCTGGGTGACTTTGTGATGCTACGACTAGAGCCTGACCTCAGCCCCATCACCCTGGACAAAGGGTTCAACCCCTGGAGCCTCAGGACATAGCAGCCACTCCTGGCACAGCACGAGGTACCAGGCCCTAGCATTTGTGGAGCACCTGTCTAGTGCAAGCCTCATTTTATCAGCACTCTGAGGGGTCCATGACAGGGCCTACATGACTTATCCATGCCAGGTCCATACATGGCTCATCTGGCAAACTGGGCAACACAGCTCGCCTCTCTGAGACCCACAAGACCCAGTGGGCCAAGCCAGAGCAAACGGAATTCACACTCCACCCCCAGGACTGCCTATCCCTCCTGGGCTGGCCCAGGGGCTCATGTGTACCCCCCTTTCCACAGGGGTCTCCCCAGCCAGGCTTTCGAGTACATCCTGTACAACAAGGGCATCATGGGTGAAGACACCTACCCCTACGTGGGCAAGGTAATCCTTGAGCCTCACTGCCTGCTCCCCTCCATTGCACCAGGGGATCATAACAGGCTTGCCCCATGCCCTGGGCCCCATTCTCTGGCATTCAGAATTGTCTGTTTCTTTCTTCTTGGCAACTCTAGAGATTGAACCCAGGGCCTCATGCATGATAGGCAAGTGTTATATCACTAAGCAACTTCCTTTCTTTCTTTCTCTTTCTTTCTTTTCTTTCTCTTTTCGTTCTTCCTTTTTTTTCTTTTGAGGCAGGATCTCAGTATGTGGTCCAAACTGGCCTTGAACTCACATTGATCCTCCTGCCTCAGCCTCCCACCACTACACTCAGCTTTTTATTTTGTTTTAAAATAGTCTCACTAAATTGCCTAGGTGGATTGAATTTTCAGTCCTTCTGCCTCAGCCTTCCAAGAAACTGAGTTAGGTTTGCATTGGGCCTGCTACAATCACCAGTGCTTCTCTTCCTCCTTGAAGCCTTTCCTTTGTCTTCTCTGCCTGTCTGGGCCCCTCTCTTACCAGGGGCCTCTGTTACCCTTGCTCCCTGGTCCCCTCCTCAGGACCTCTCACCCAGCCTGCTGTTTTCTCCTGGTCCCCTCTGGTCCATGTAAGGGCCTGACACCAACTTAATGCCCTTTCTCACCCATGTCCATGCTGCCCAAGCTCTCTGTCTTTTCCCCAGGCCTGTGGCCCCCCTTGCTTTGCTCTTCCAGTGAGCACAGCTCCAGCCCTGTCAGAACCAGTTACCCTCCAGGGGCCCAGTCTGGGCTGCCATGCTGGCTACCACAGACTTTCTTACATGGCTCCCTTGGCCTGACTTAGCCTTTGGTCTCCATCTGTGACACTGAACTGGTCTTCTCTGGGCCTCTGGCCTGCTCTGCTCAGAGTGCTGGAGGCTCTACAGAGCACTCTCTTCACCCTGCCTGTCTCCATCTCGTCCCTCAGTGCTCAGGCCCAGCCTCACACTGGGTCCCAAACACCAGGTCTAAGTAGATTGAACCCAGTCACCTCAGTCCTGTGACCTCTGCACCCACCTAGGTCAGGGCTGCTCTGGGCTGAAGGTCCTTCCCTCCCTGCCACACAGACTTGCTACTCCATTTCTGTCAGTGTCTTCCCAGGGCTCCCACCATGCACTGGTGCCTACCAGTCTGTCAAAGGTGCCTCAGATTCTGTCAGAAATGACCTGTCACCAAGCCCAGGTGCACATAGTTCCCATTTAGAACATGCTATCAGGGGCTTGGGGACTGAATCCCTGTGTTGGGTAGGGGTTCCTGACCTGTATCCCACAGCCTTTGCTGCCCTGAACAGGATGGTCGCTGCAGGTTCAAGCCCCAGAAGGCCATTGCATTTGTCAAGGATGTCATGAACATCACACTTGTAAGTCCCAAGTTCTTCTGTGGGTTGGGGTGGGGGTGTACTGTGATGGGGAGACCCTGGGCCAGCCCAGGAGGCAGCATATCAGGACTAAGGAGCTAGGGCTCCTGCTGACTTGCTTGCCATGGTGGCAGCGGGGATGGTGGGAGGGCATCCTGCGGGCAGATGTTCTGGTTCTGCATGCCCAGTCTGCTCACATTTGCCTGCGTGTTCTCATCTATAAAATGCGGGCCACAGTCCCCATGCTGGGAAGAGGGCATAAGCCAGTGTGTGGCTGCACGTGAGGCAGGGTGTGTGCATATTTGTCAGGAAAAGATGGGTCTTGCCACCATCACAGACAAAGGGCCCATCTCAGCCTCTGGCTGACCATGGCCTGAGCACAGCTGACTGTTCTGTCACTGGCCTTGCCCTAGAGCCTAGGCTGGGAGAAAGCATGGTCAAGTCACGAAAAAGCTGCCTAGTCACACCTCACCTCAGGCATCTGGGGGATGCAGTTGTCCCTGCCTTTCAACAAGAGACCAGGCTTGAGTGTGTCTGAGTGGCTCTCAGGACTTCCGTGTGAGTGTGCAGTGGGGAGGGAGGGAGAGGGCTCCTCCACAGATGTGTGCAGGTGTGTCATGTGCCAAGGAGGGGGCGGGGGAGTTGCCCAGCCCTTGTACTTGCCAGGCAAGCACTTATTCTACTGAGCTATCTCCCCAGCCCCTTAAACTTTTTCTACATAACCTCTTTTTTTAAATTTTTTTTTAGCACTGTCTTTTAATTACAGCCCATGCAGGTGTTTGGCAAAAACAGGTTGAATTTATGGGTGCTTACAGGAGTGAACCAGCCACTTGACATATAGTCTCCTGGAGATCAAAATAACCCTAGAAGTGAGCCGTCCTCACCTCCACTTTATAGGCAGGAGATAGGCTCAGAGAGTTAAGCAATGTGCCTGAGGGTGTGAAGTTAGAATGTGGAGGATGGAATGGAACTGAAGTCTTGTCATTCCAGAACCAGGACTTATTGCCCAACAATAGGTAGCCCACACCCTCTAATGGGAAACCAGTGCCTGGCAAGGTCAGCCCCTTGCAGTGCCCCTGGTTCTTGCTTAACCCTCGTCTTCTACACCACCCTAGACCAAGGTACACAGTACTAGGTTTTTGAAAGTGTGATGGGAGGTAATGGAGGCTGTGTGTCATCTCACAGAATGATGAGGATGCCATGGTGGAGGCAGTGGCCCTGTACAACCCTGTGAGTTTTGCCTTTGAGGTGACTGAAGATTTTATGTCATATAGAAGTGGAATCTACTCCAGGTGAGTGGTTCGGGGACAGTAGTGGGCAGGAAGGCTAGCCAGCCCAACACTGGCACCAGGGCTGCGGGCTCTCCCCTCTCCCAGCCAGACCATTTTGGCGCCTGCTGTGCTAGGTAGTCCTCACATACCACCAGGGTTGGGTATCAATCTTCACCTCAGGACAGGAAAGCGTCTGGAGGCTGCCCAGCCTCGGCCACATGGTTTGTGCTGCCCATTTGGACTCATGTTCACAAAGATGCAAAGCAAGAAGAGGAGAAGCCAATCCCAAACACCTGATTCCTGTGCTGGAGAACACCCCAGAGGGTTCTTCAGGAGAAACCAAAGCTGCTGGATGTCTTTAGTTCGGGCTTGTTTTTGTGGAGTGGGAGTTTGATTTGTTTTGCAATGCTGGGGTCTGACTCAGTGCCTCATATATGCCAGTTGAGCACAAGGCCCCTGAGCCACAGCCAGTCTCCTGAGGATCTTTGGTGCCAGGTCTCTCAACCAGGCATGGTAGCAAATACCTGTGATCCCAGCCCTCAAGAGGCTGATGGGAGGAATGCCATGAGTTCAAGGCCAGCCATTAACTACATAGCAAGACCCTGTCTTCAAAGAGCAAACTAAACAAACACAAAAAATCCAGGGTCTCTTTCCTGCACCCCTTAGTTGCTCCCCCTGCTCCCAAGGCCTAGCTTAAAGCACCCATGTGAAGGCAGTGCTGTCCAGGTTGGGTTCATCCCTCTGCCCAGGTCTCAGATGCTTCCTGGCTGCTTGCTGAGAGCTTCTGAAGCTGGCCTCTGCCTCCCCAGCCCACGCCCCGCCCCCTCGCCATCTCCCTGTTGCTGCCAGCCCTGCCTCCTCCACATCATGCTTAGCACCCTCTCCAGCAGTCGGCAGCCAAAGCCATCTCCAGATGCACACCTCCAGCCATACCACCCTTCGAGCCCTGAGGCCAGCCAAGCTGGGGACACTCCCTGTCTCCTCCAGTTCCACCCTGTAGCCTGCACCCCAGCAGCATGGAAGGGTCTGTGATCTTGAAGTGTTCCCTGCCCCCATCCACCCCACCACCCAGCCCCAAGCCTGCTGCACAGAGGTGGCACTTAGTCCATCAGTTCACAGCCAGAAAAGCCTTCCTAAGGACAGGAGCTGTCCCATGAGCATCCCAAATACTTTGCCCATGCCAAGCCCAGGTCATCCACAAGTGACCCAATGTGGACACTGTGGCCTGCAGGTGTGCAACAGAAGCTGCCCTGTGTGGGGAGGCCAGACGTGTCCAGCACCAGAAGGGAAGCCCTTCACCCCCTCACCACCTGCTGCACACACAAGGACATACAGCTCCAAGCCCTCTGTGGCAGGATATTTTCTCCATCCCATATTATCAACATCTTTTTATTTCTAGTACTTCCTGTCATAAAACTCCAGATAAAGTGAACCATGCAGTACTGGCTGTCGGGTATGGAGTAAACAATGGGGTACCCTACTGGATTGTGAAAAACTCCTGGGGCACAGCATGGGGAAAGGACGGGTAAGCAATTCAGGTCCCTTTCTGAGTTAGGGGCTGGTGCCAGAGCCTGGAGGCCAGGGGTCCATCCCCCCATCTTGCATATGGCTTCCCAGAGGAGCTGGTCAGAGGGTAGCCTAGGTCCTTCTAAGAAGCAGGAGGGCAGCTGACTCAGGAAAATGCATAGCCTTTGCTGGGCACTGAGAGCCCCGGAAGAACTAAACCAATCTGGAGAGGGTCCAACGCTGAGAAATGCAATACATGGGTCCCTGACCATGCAGCTCCTCCTCCAAGAAAAGGCAGGAATCAAGAGACTGTGTGCATGTATACAGGTGACTACTCTGTACCATCTAAAAACCAAAGTCACAAGTGCCCAGCCAGATAGCTCAGCAGACTAAAGCGCCTGCTCAGGCAGAGCACAGCAGCCAGGGTTCGATCCTTGGTGTGCAGTGCCAGCCCCACCCCCAGGGCCTGCTGAGGACAATTGAAACTGGGCGTGGTGGCGCGAGCCTGTAATCCCAGTGCTTGTGAGGCTGAACACAGGAGGATCACAAGTCTGATCTATGTAGTGAGACCCTGTAGTCCCTGTAGACCCTGTTACAAATACATAAAAATAAATAAAAAGCAAAGTCACTGTAACTAGGGAGCCCTACTTATGATTAAGTAGCTATGTTAGGCCTTAGCCAGAGATCAGTAGGGGAACTCCCCACCACTGGGGAGGCTGAAAACAGTGAGGATCACTAGAGTCTGAACTGCGTAGTGAGTCCTTGTACCAAATACATTAAAAGAGATGATTTGGCAGCCAAGAAGGAAGACTGAATTATCCAGTAAGTCACATATTTCCTGGTGACAAAATAAGCCCAATATTACTGTTCCATGAATAAATTTGGAGGCCCTAACCCTGGGAGTCGGGTCTTGGTGGGCAGTAGAACATTCCAGAAAGTTCGGTGGTGAAAACACCAACGCCAGGCTTTTCTCTGCTCAGGTACTTCCTCATCGAGCGTGGGAAGAACATGTGTGGCCTGGCCGCCTGTGCCTCTTACCCCATCCCTCAGGTGTGAACCAGTGTGCCGGAAGTAACTGGCTGGTGGAGGGTAGCTGGCCTCTTGCCCCGGAGGACAGGTGGGGATCTGCTCAGGAGCCCCTTGCTTTCCACCGTCATCCCTGTGCACCACAGACTGTATCACCAGCCATGTGCCTTACTTGTGGTTTTCAATGCAATCAAGCTCAGTGGACAGAATACGCCTTCCGGAGGAGCTATTCCATGTGTGCAGAGTGCTCCAGTGACTTTATTTTCTACATTTTGTTCAATAAATGTTCAGGACCAGACACGACTTTAACTGCAGGCATCGAGGGTTGGGCGGGTGCCATGGGTACCAGATGTTGGAAAGGGGCTGGTTGCCCAGACTCAAGCAGGAGGGAGGACACATGTTATGGTCTAGTCATGCCAGGACAGTCCCAAAAGCCCATGGCTCTCCCTGTGACCTTCCATCTTCACTTCCTGCTCCTCTGCTGACAGTGCCTTGCAAATGCCTTCTTCATTCCTCCCTTACCATGTCCTGATATACACCAATATGATCTGTCACCTCAATGTCAGCCCTCTCTGCCCCTGCCCAGGTGACCTGTAGGCTCTCAGTTCCAGGACATGTGCATACAAATACCTATGCCTTTGCTTTTTGTCTTGCAGGTCACAGACTGCCTTAATAACAAAATGTCTTTTATTTGGGCTCCCTAGAGAATTAAAAGCTTGAAAATACTGGGGGGATAGCACATTCATGACAAAGAAACACCAAGTGTGGCTTAAGTTGTTAGGGGATTCTAGTATGTTAAAGACACCCCAACTATATGTGAAGACGAAAATTAGCTGGGCATGGTACACACAACTGTGAGGCCAAAGGCAGGAGACCCTCTCAAAAAACAAAAAAAGTCAGCTGGGCATGACAGCACTTGGGAGGCTGAGGCAGGAGGATCACCAAGAGTTTGAGGACAGCCTGGACTACACAGTTCAAAGCTAGCTAAACAATAGCAAGACTTTTTAAAAAAAAAAAAAAAAAAAAAAAAGAAAGAAAGAAAAAAAAAAAAAAAAAAAAAAAGCCTGTAATCCCAGTACTTAGGAGACTGAGACAGGAAGTTCATTGCCAATTTGAAAACAGCTGGGCTACAAAGTGAACTCAAGGCCAGCCTAAACTGCATAGGGAGACTCTTGTCTCAAAAAGACAAAATAGGGGCCGGGGAGATGGTTCAGTG